CCCCCAAGGAGAAAACTACCTACTGTGCAAATGAGCAATATACCAGGGGGAAGGGAAAGCTGTGGCTCTGGGAAGATTTCAGGGAAGGAAAGTGGGATGCTCCAGTGCACATTTACACAACTGGCACTGTTCAGTTCCATTAGGACAGAAGCTGTATGTCAACTAAGTTTTTTTTAAAATATCTCCCTTAGCATAAAGCTTTGCACAAAGTGTGTGTGTTTCATAAGTGTGTGTGAGAAAAAGAAGGGAAGACGGAAGGAAGGAAGGAAGGAAGGAAGGAAGGAAGGAAGGAAGGAAGGAAGGAAGGAAGGAAGGGGGAAGAGAAGAAGCGGGAAGAGAGGAAGAAGGGAAGGGAGGAGGGAAAAGGGAAAGGAGAAAGGAGAGAGGTAATGAGGGGAAGGAGGGAAAGAGAGAAAGAGAAAAGAGGGGAAGAGGAGAAGAAAGAGAGGAGGGAGAAAGGGAAGGGAGCAGAGAAGGAAAGAACAAAGGGAGGAGAAAAGAAGGAAGAGGGAAGAAGGTAAGGGAGGAAGGGGAATGAAGAAAGGAAGGGAGGAAAGAAGGAAGGGAGGGGAGCGAAAGACAAACACAGACAAACGGGAGGGAAGCGAGGGAGAAAAGGAGAGCCAGGCAGAGCTGGATCACAGGCCCCTCTGATTCTAAATCAAATGATACTTCCAGGGTACCATACCGTGCCTCGGCGCAGAGAGGGAGATCAAAAAATAACCTCGCTTTCCCCACAGCCTCTTGCATTTCCCATCTCTGATTCTGTTTATTCTATTCCTCTGATAGCCTCTGCCGGTCGGTGGTTAAGAAACTGGGCCGAACTTTGGCTGCCGGGCCTAACGCCGATGAATTGAAAGAGCCAAGGCCAGTATCAGAATGAGAACGAGATCCAGAGTAACCAGAGTCGTTCAGAACAAGATCCAAAGAGTCCAGCATAAACTCATGACAACTGCAGAGACCCGAAGAAGACAGAATTTCCTGATGCTGAGGGAGGAAAGACATGGCTACGTACCCATTCCTCGAGCAGGAAGGCACCGAGGACTCCCCCGAATGGCAGGGCTGGAAGAGACTGCAGCACCCACCAAGGCCACCGCGCCCCCATTTTATAGTAGAAGGAACTGAGGGCCATATGCCCAAAGCCATGTATCAGAGCCAAGATTAAAACCTCTGACACCAAACATGATGCTTTTTCTATTGTTACCATGTTGTCTGTTAAAATACAGAGAGAGGAAAGGAAGGAGAAGGATGTGGATGGGGCTGGTGGGAGGTAACAGAGGAGGCGAGGTTTGTAACGTCTCGTGAACGGGTGACTCCACTGTCCTATCCAAACTCGACTGGCATTTATCCACAACACTTTTTCAGGGAGGAGGCCACGGCAGCAGAATCGTCTTCCACCTCCCTTGGCGGCCCCTTATTTTCCTGGCCATCTAAAATCAACAACTACATTCTCCTTCCTCCTCCACACTGTGTTTAGAAGAGAGCTGCACTGTGTGTGCTTACATAGCAGCAGAACCTAATCAGAACATCATCTGCATATGCATGCCTCACTCCCTACTCTGAAAGGCAGAGCATCCACTTATCCAGCTGAGAGATTTAGGACTCTGGTCCCCATGCAGCAGTAATGGAGGTCTTTTACTTCCTTGTTGTCATGGAGATGGGTAGGGCTTCAGATGCTAGTCGGATGCTCTCTTAAAGACAGAAATGATGCATTCCCATCCCTAATCATTTGACTTCACAAGTTCTGGAAATCAGGAAAGAGAAAAACATTTAACTCCACTTAAGTCATTTGGGAACCTGTTGCCTATTAGAGCCATTCTCAATCTGTCTTGCAGAACCTGTCTGCTAAACACCTGGAAAGGTTCTCCTGTGCTCTAGTAGACAATGATGACAGTGGTTTGCATCTGTATAGTGCCTGACAGTTTATAAAGCACTTTCTTCTCCTAACATCCTTGTGAGTGATGTAGTACAAGGATGGTTCTCCCCATTTAAAGGATGAGGAAAATAAAGCCCAGAGTGGTCACAGTATGATTCATAGTTCAATTTATAATCCTCTTTTCACAGCATAGGTAGGTTGTATCTGCTTTTATTATTCCCATTTTACAAATAAGGAAATGGATTCTCAGAAAGATTTGACTCATAAACCTTGCCAGGGACGGTGTTGGCCATGGAACCCAGGTTTCCCTGACTCCAAGGCCAAGGTTCTTTCTGCTACATTTCACAGACCTTAGGTCTACAGCTAGAAGGGTCCTCTGAGTCCATCTAGCCCAACCCCCTCCTTTTATAGATAAGAAAACTGAGGCCCAGGTTGGTGATTTGCCTCAGGTCACACAGGTAGTTAGCTAAAGAGGTAGAATTTCTATCTTAAGAGGCAGCGTGATTGAGTGGTAGAATTAGGGACACGGAATAAAGATTCCAGCTTAAATCTTGCCTTAACTGTTATTCCGTATGTATGTTACTATGGACAAGTCACAGTCTGATTCTCTGTAAATAAGTAGGATGGACCACCTGATAAGTCTCAGGTCCCATACAGCTCCTGATCCCACAAATGGGGCCTGCTTTATTCCCCCATAAAGGGCCAGGGGAAGGGTTTAGAGAGATGAGTCCTCACCAGGAGTTTTCCCTCCTGTGAGTGGCATAAGCTAATAACAAAACAAACCACACAGTTCTCATGATCTCTTGGACAAATCTGGAACACTGAAGGCCTGATCTCTTGCTACAGCCGTGGGCAGTAATTCAATGAATGCATTTTCAATAATGGAGATTTGATTAGGCTACGTAAGGCCATGAATGACATACAATTATCCAATACTGTTAACGATCACAGCAAAGGAGGAAGCATGCAGGGAAGCAGCGTACAACGATAACAGAAGCAATATTAACTAAGTGGCTGGTACGCAGGTTTTCTGGGTGGCATTCTTTCTGAAGAACTATTCTGAGAGAGAAAAACACAGCAATCCTTGATCCTCTCATTAAGGTCTAACAGGCACCATCTTTCCTGCATTAGCTAGCACAAGTACAATCGTTACGTGCCAGGCATCGCCAGATGAGTAAATCTTTTCAATGCATTGATTTATTTCACTTCCTTAAGTAGGTTATTGATCCTCTCTTTCCAAAGATAGAGAAATAAAAACACTTTTAATCTATGTAACTGGTTACAGTTTTAAGCTTTTGGGGTTTGTTTGTTTTTTAATTTTTTTCATGGCAGCTAGGTGGTGAAATGGCTAGAACCCTGGGCCTGAAGTCAGGAAGAACTGAGTTCAAATACAGCCTCAGACATTTACTAGATGTATGTCCCTCCCCAAGTCACCTAACCTGTGTCTGCCTCAGTTTCCTCATCTGCAAAATGAGGGGTTGTTGTGAAGAGCAAATGAGATAGTATGTGTAAAGTGTTTAGCAAGGTACCTTGCACTTGTAGGTGCTTAATAAACCTATTTTTCCTTCCTTCCTCCTTCCCTCTGTTCCTTCTGTCTTCCCTTCCCTCCTTCTCTACATTCTTTCCTTCCTCCCTCCCTTCCCTCCTTCTTTCTTTCCTTCCCTCCTTCTTCCTTTCTTCCTTCCTTCCAGGAAATTTCCTCTTAGGTGTCATGGTCATAGAGTGGAAAGGACATTGGCTTTGTCATTAGAGGACCAGGGTCTAAAACCCATCTCTAATGATTGCTACCAGTACTTGGACAAGTTATTTTAACCTCTTTTGGCCTCAGTTTCCTCATCTGTAAAATGAGAGGGTTGTACTAGATGACCTGTGAGGTCCATTCCAGCTTTAGATCTGTGATTCTAAGAGGGATGCTATTAATGAAAAGAGCTGTGGACTCAGAGTCAAGAGATGCAAATGCGAATTCTGCCCCTTCTACTAACTTGCTATATGGCCATGGGCAGATCCTTTTACATCCCTGGGCCTGAGCCACCTCATCTGTAAAATGAAAAGGTTAGGTCAGATGGGCTTTAAAATAATCCCAAACTCTGGCAAACAAAAGGAAACATTTCTTAGGCTTCAATGCCAACTGACCTAGGACGTCATGGGTGTGAGTATGCCATCTTTCATGTCCTAAACCATCTCCCTCTATCCACCCCATACAGTGGAGGCCTTCCTCTGATTCTCTGAATATGTAGAGTACACCCAAGCAGCCTGAGGGCTGTATAATAGAAAAGGGACCTGCCTTGGAGTTAGAAGCCTGGGGTTTGAATCCACCCCAGGTACTTCTTGGTAGACGGCTGTGCAATGATGGGCAAATTACTTAATCTCTTGGAGTTTCAGACTGCTGGTCGATATTACCAACGCTACCTACAAATGTTGTCCTTGACACTGTATTTGACTGTACTGACACTCCAAATCAGCTTTTCAAAAAAGGGTAACCTCACCCCCCTATAGAGCATTTTATTTGTACTTCCGTGATATACTTCTCATATATTTTTGTGGTTTATAGACATTCATGTTTGCATCTTATCCCCACCAACCCAAAAGCTCCAAGAAGGTAGGGACTGACACTTATCTATGGACTGCAGTATATGAAGGCTTGCTGAATCAAACAGAAATGAACTGAGAGGCAGTTCTGCCTAATGGACTGAGAGATGCACTTGAAATGAGAAAGGTAGAAGGTTGAAGCCTGCCCTCAGACACTCACTGGTTGTAGGCCCCTGGGCAAGATGGCACTCAATCTCTTCCAGCCTCAGTTTCCTTACTGGGAAAATGAGAGTTTAGACTTGATAACCACTAAGGTCCCTTCCAGCTCTAAATCTGTTATACCGTGAATGAGATTGGCAGTGAGAAGAACCCAGCTTCTGTCTTACTCTCATGTGGCCCATGCCTCCAGTGTTGCCCATATAAGACCCTCTCCTTTCCTGCCAGCCCACCATTTACGTAGTTCCATTCAGTTTGTCCGCATTCCCCCAAATCATCAGAATGGCATGGCTGCTCTAATTAGCAGGTCAGCTTCTGTCTCTGGCCCTTAGGCTCTGGGAATTTTGGGACAGCACAAGAGATGAGGTACCAGACCTACCTGGTTTCCAGCGGGATGTTACTGTTGAGTAACCAGTTGTCCTGCGCATGGGCAGACTCTGGGGGGCCGACGGGGTGCTCTCCGGAAAGAGAGTGGTCTGTCGGTGCTGGGCTGGGGTTGCTGCGGGGCGTAAAGTTCCCTCGATTCAGGGAGTTGATGGAGGCTGCATGATGCTGGTTGGGGGTGTGGGAGTGAGACAGTGGAGGAGGTGGAGTCCGCAACCTGGACGGGTTCTGAAGGCTTGCTGGGTGATCTAGGAGACAAACAGGCCTGTCAGGTCAAGGACACTGATCTAACCCTGGGCATTTTCAGCAGGAAGAAAAAACACAGTTCAACGTGGCATAGAAGCAATAACATATTGTTACAGCCCAGGCTGACCGAGCACTCTCAGATTTTGCAAAGCATTATATCTACCCAGAGAGGAGAAAGAGGATAATAGCGAAGATGCTCTTCTATAAGACACTTTATGGTTTGCAAAATGCATTCTTTACAACCACCCTAGAATCTCTAGGTGCCTTCAAATGAAGTCTCAATGACCCCCATATTGGAAGTCTTCCCTGATTCCCCCGTCTAATAGTGCCCCTTTCCTCCCATAGTATCTTGTCTTTATTTTGTGCACGCTTTAATATTTGCATATTGAGAAGAAAAATGAGATACCGTATATGAAAGTACTTCGTAAACTGTAACAGACTGTATCAACACAAGGGATTCTGACTATTTGGAAGGAACTGAGTATAGTAGACCCAACACTGTTAGGCAGGAGATGGAGCTAGAAGATCTTTAAGGTCCCAAAGAATTCACAGGTTCTATTGTCTGGAGTCAGGAAGGCCTGAGTTCAAATCTGGCCCCAGACACTTACAAGCTGTGTGACCCCAGGCAAATCATGTAACACTGTTTGCCTCAGTTTCCTCCTCTGTAAAATGATCTGGAGAAGGAAATGACAAACCACTCTAGTATCTTCATCAAGAAAACCCAAATGGGGTCACGAAGAGTTGTACATAACTGAAAAACCATTCAATAACAACATGTTTCTATAAACCCCAGGGATATCATTTACAAGAAGGGGATATCCAAAAAATCCACAAGTCAAGTTCAAGGCTCTACCCTCTAATAACCCTGAGGAACGTTCTATTCAGCTTACCTCTACACAGTTAAACATACTAATAATAACTAGCATTTATATTGGGCTTTAAGGTTTGCAAAGTGTTTTACATATATAATCTTATTTGATCCTCACCAATCCCTGGGAGGTAGGTATTATTATTATCTTTATTTTACAGATGAGAGAACTTGGGGGCAGAAAGAGGGAAAGTAGTGTGCCTATGACAACACAGAGAATAAATGGTGGCAGGACTTGATCTTAGGTCTTCCTAACTCCATGTCCAAAGGACTAATCTACTACTACCCCTATACCACATAGCAATTTACTCAATTTGGAGAAAGCCGGCTACATTTGAAAAAGGTTAAGTCATCTGACATCATAGATGCAGTGTAATGTAATAATGGCACGAGCACTGGCCTTGGAGTCAGAAGGCCCGAGTTCAAATCCTGGGCTTTGATCTTTATTATCTAAATCATTCTAGGAAAATGATTTAATCTCTCTGAAATCTCAGTTTCCTAATTGCAATGAGAGCACTACCTCCATTAATCAGGACGTTTGGAGGAACGGGTTTTGTAAACTTTAAAGTGTTATACAGATATGAATGGCAATTATTATAACACAACCCAGAAATCTCATGTTAAAGAGTAAATAAAGATACTGTTTTGAAAGCTTAACAGGAATATAATTATAGGCAAACATTAACAGAAATATAATTGCAGAGAAGTGGCTTATAATAACAGCAGGCAAGCATAGAGTGCTTTTAAGGTTTCCAATATTACTACACATATTATCTCATTTGATCCTCACAACTCTGAGAGGCAAGCTATCCCCTTTTACAGATAAGAAAACCAAGGCTAAGAGGTTTAGTGACTTGCCCAGGGTCACACAGCTAGTAAGTGTCTGAGGCTGGATTTGAACTCGTATCTTCCTGACTCCAAGTCCAGTGCTTTATTATCCACTGATTCCCTAGCTGCCTCTTTCTACTTGGTGTGCTACAGTAGACAGCATGCTGGAATGGATTCTGGAGACTTGGGTTTAAATTCTGGCTCATCTACTTATCACCTATGTCATCCTGGGCAAATGAGCCTCCTTATTTATAAGACGGGAACTAACACTCCTTGTTTTCCTGCTTCACAGTGGCATGTGAAGAAAGTGCCTTGTGATCATCAAGACCTAAGGAAATGGGAATTGCTATTAATATTATTATAAAGAGCAGACTCAAACGCCTTTAGCTGGGGGGTACACACGTACACAGGGCCTTGTCTCTGGGGACGCTCTCCCAGAACACTTTATTTTGAATTCTGTGAGTGCATTAAGGAGTTAGTGGCAGAGAGATGGGCACTTGAGATTAGAAGGGTGCCACACGATCTGTCCCAGACTGACAGACCACTCACCATGTGTGGGGGCTACTTACACCTCCAGCTTGGCTGAGGAACAAGAAAGGCTGGGCTTTTATTAAATCAACCAGCTGCCCCAGAAACAGGGGTTACAGCACTGCCCAGCTTTAAAGCTGCAGGGCTGTGTCTGGACAGAACCACCACCATCTAAGAAATTTATCGAAACAGAATCACCTTCCCTTTCCCCGCAAAACCAGGCTGAGAGGCACAGATGGCAAAATTGACCTCTGAGGGTACAGGGAAAGAGGAGAGTCACAGATCTGGGAGGACACCAGACCACGCTGGGTCAACGATTCTGTCCGAGTTCCAAGGAGCTGTTAATTGAGACAGACAATGCCTCAAACATAAGCTAACAGGGCGCCAGACTGCCCTGGGTGAGTGATAATGGATCACTCAGCCTCTCACCTCCAAGCCACTGTCTGGAACCCAGACCAAGTAAACAGGAAGTATTATTACAGAGGGCTTTTTACCATCTTCAACATTCATTCATTCAAGTCACAAATGCATTCATTCATACAGCAAAGAGTGATTAAGCACCTATTATGTGTAGAGACATACTGTATGCTAGAAGAAATACAAAGACAAAACACAGTATCTGCTATGGTGGAGTTTACAGACTAGTAAGATACAAACACAGATATCCAGAATACACAATATGAGGTCTAAACAAAGTGTTAAGTGAAGTCCATGGAGGATAATCATTGTTAGTAGGAGGGATCGCAGAAGACTTCCTGGAGGAGGTGACATTTTAAGGTGACCTTTAAAGAAGAGGTAAGAATTCAGCTCACAGAGAGAAAAAAGGCAGCCCATCCCAGGTACGGGGAATGGAATGAGAAAAGGTGTACAAGTGGGAGGGGGTGTGTTCAGAAAACAGAACAGTCCAGTTGTCTGGATTGGAACAATATGGTATAAGGCAAGTAAGACAGGGCCTCAAGCCCATGCCGTATGAGGACCAATGAAAATACTGGTTGGAGTTAGGCACAATAGCCATTTTCAGTTATTTGAAGGGTTGTCATGAGGAGTCAGGAAGACTTTTCCTTGCGATTTCAAATCTGGCTGAGGCTTACACTTCCTAGCTGTGTGACTCTGGGCAAGTCACTTAGCCTTGACTGCCTCAGTTTCCTCATCTGTAAAAATGATCTGGAGAAGGAAATGGCAAACCACTCTAGTATCTTTGCCAAGAAAGCCCCAAATAGGGTTAAGGAGAGTCACACACAACTGAACACAAACAACAACAACAAATAAAGAAGAAGAATTAGACTTGCTCTCTTTGGTCCTGGAGCAGACCTAAGACTGAGCAGGAAAAGGCAGAGCAGCCAGGTGGCGCAGTGGACAGAGCACCGGCCCTGGATTCAGGAGGACCTGAGTTTAAATCCGGCCTGAGACACAGAACACTGTGTGACCCCAGGTAAGTCACTTAACCCCACTGCCTAGACCAATAAATAAATAAACAAATGAATGAATGAATGAATGAATGAATGAATGAATAAATAAAGAGGAGAAGGCGCAGAGAGTTTAACACTAGGTTGTACAAAAGGAAAAAACCTTCCTAACAATTAGATTTGTCTGAAAGTAATACGGGTTGTCTTAGAATACAACTGGTTCCTCCTCACCAGAGGTCTTCAAGAAGAGGCTGTAGGACAACTTGTCTGAGCTATAGAGCGGATTATTATTCCAATTAATATTGGCCCAGATGGTTTCTAGGGTCCTTCCTGACCCTGAGATTCTAGGTCTCTCCACTAACAATATACAGTTCTACATAGGACCAGGAGTACCACAAAGGACTAAACAATAAACACAACGATGTTTTCTTTCAGCTCACATTCGAGTATAAAATGCCCTCATCCCTATTCCTAAAAGCATGAGGATCATGGGATTTAGAGCAGCAAGGTATCTTAGGACTCATTCAGCATAAAGCACTCATTTTATTTAATTTTTTTTTTCCTTTTCCTCACTTTAAGACAATAGGGGGATGGAGAAATGGGGTTGGAACAGTAAATTTCTGACCACCCCTCTAGAGTGAACGCTCCCTGGTAACAAAAACAACTATGTCAAGATACCTAGAAGATAGAAGCAGACAACCTTCTGCCCTTGCAGTCCTCCATCTCTCTGTCCTATGGAAAGAGGGGGGTTTCATCATTTTTTTCCTAGGGCCATTACTGGTTTTCTCATTTTTTAAAGAGTTCAGCTTCCTTTTAATGATACTTTAAAAAAATTTTACATTGTTATGTTCATCTTCTTTCATAATCCCAAATTGCTATCAGATTGGCTGGCCCAATTCACAGCTGCACCAACAATGTATTAGTGTGCCTGTTTTCCCACAGTCCCTCTAACACTGACTGCTCCCATTTTTTGGTCATTTTAGGCAACTTCGACATTGTTTTAATTTGTGTTTCTCTACTATTAGTGACCCATTCACTTTGCAGAAGAAATAAACAAAACCTGGGGAGGGGAAGAGATATGCCTAAGGTCATAGTCCAAATCCAGGGCTTTTTCTACTAGACTAAGCCGCTAAAATAAACAAGAGGATGGCGGCCATGATTTAATATTCAGATTAAAAGCAGATGAGACCTATTTTAACCCAGATTCTCCAAACAAAACCATACATGGGGCTTCTCAATAGGCCTAAAGGTGAAAGTCCATTTTTGTCCTAGATAAACACTTGCATCCTGAACTCAGCAAAATAAGGATGTGCTACCAAATTCCATAACTCTCTTCATTTGACAGTCAGAATCCTGAAAGGAATGAGGCCTT